TGCGTCTCTGAGCAACATGACGTTGTTTTGTTTCTGAATGAATCAAGCGTGTAAATGATTCGGTTCAATCGCAATGACTCACTTAACAGTGACTTGCTGCCCCTTACTGGCGGTTTTAATTTGACATTTAAAGTATCTTTTCATTTTGAAAATAATTTCAAATATCAGTATTCAACATTTCATGTTTAAAATATCAACACATTATTTATGCATTTGTAACTGCAGTTTAAAGCATTCCATGTCCCTCTAAGCTGCATTAACATGTGTAAATACATCTAAATGCCACTTCATATGCAACTTCTGCAAAGATTAATTTTATTGATACTGATTTAATTTGTTTAGTAACAGCCTAAATGTATTATTATTATAACTGACTGATTAAATGTAAGAATTTGACTCAAAAGATTATGTACATTTTTAGAAAAAAAATGGCTTTATAAAAAGTTAAAAATGCACATAAAAGGTAAAAAATAAATTGAAACTTATTGGAAAAGATTAATTTCTATCACTGCTGTGTACTGACCACACAGAATATGAAGAATATCAAAAACTTTAGGAGTCAGCTGTCCACGGTAGTCCTTAAGATATCAGCACAATAACACACTCAGCAAAATATCGTCTAATTATCTTTATCGATAAAATCACAGAAAATATTGAGATATTATTTTTTGTCAATAGGGTACAACCCTAGTACTGACACAAAATTATTTGCAACGGTTGCTTTGTCACGCCCAGTATAGACAGACTCAAACTTTTGGTTTATTTCTGTCTTTTTTTTTTGGCTAGTAGAAGTTATGAATGGCCGGTAACTTAATTTAGTAGCCAAATTGGCTGGGGAGTGAAAAAGTTAATTTCAATCCCTGTATATATATATATATATAGAGAGAGAGAGAGAGAGAGAGAGAGAGAATATACACAGCACATAATTTTAATTACATCATTTATTTTACAGGATGCCGACAATGTACCTACAACAAATGGAGAGAAATTTAATTATCTCATTAGACGGCTTCATCTTCATGACAAATATCATCAGAAACTCAAAGCTGCAGACTTTCTTCAGCTATCTGCTCAATCGGGTATAATTCAGTCCCATAACTCGTGTGCAGAGCAGGACTTAGTTCACATGTTTCTACAAAGACTACTGATGATGGACTATAGAACAAGACATATAACTATTAAAGACAGCAATGAGCAAAGTTATACACAAAGTATGAGTGATTTGGTACGAAATGAGATAGATCTTTTTGATGATCTCTTTAGTGAAATACCTTTGTCTAATGAAGAAAGCAGCAAACCAGGCAAAATCCACCCAATGGATGTTCAGATGGCCATTTTTCATTGTGCTGATAGTTTCCTGAAGCAGCTGATGGTGACTAAACTCTCACAATGTCAGTATGCTCTCCCCCTGCTTGTTCCTGATCCATTCACACAACAGCTTGAGTTTCCTCTCTGGACTTTTAGACAAATCAATAAAAGCTGGAGTATAAAAAATTCCAAGAATGAAATTATCACTAAAACCCAGCCAGTCTGCAAGGCAGCTACCCCAATGGTGGCTTTCTTCAGATTTGGCCAAGTCTCCTCATCAAAGTCTCAGCTGATGAGCAGCCTGATCAATGAGAAACACAACACATTCTTTCACAGGAACTGCAAAGGCAGCAGCAGCACCAGAGTACTGATGGACGGAGTTGTGGAGATTTCCTGGTACTGCCCCTCTGGGAAACACACTGATACATTTACTGACTGTGTTGCATTCTGCAATCTTCACGGTGATGCAGGAGCCAATGAGAAACAACTGAATATCTTGGCTGAAATGGCTTCTGTGAATGTTGTTCTTTTGCCACAGCTTGATAGAAATGACAAAAATGCAAAAAAAATACAAATGATCAGCCAGGACAAAACTCCACTTATCTTCCTTCTTACTGAGAATAATGTAGCACTCTCACCCATACAAAATGGAAAAATTAAAATGGGCTTGAAAGACAGAAATCTGCCAGAAGTAATTGAGGAACTTGTAAGAGCTATAAATAAAGGCCTTTCACTTTCATCTACTGGATCATGTAGTGTTTTCAGACTTGAAGATGTGGCCAGATTCTCAGATATTAGAGTAGATGAGCTTGATCTTGATGACTGCAGGATAGGAAAAGAAAAAGCACAGCAGATGATGAGCTTACTGGAGAAGACAGATCTAACGCAAAGCAAAGAACTACTTTTGCCCTGTCAGGGAAAACTGTGGCATCAGTGGTGTCAGAAGAATAAAGAGCTACATCGACCTCAAAGAAATGAAACTGAAATGGACATAAGTGTCAAAAATGCAGCCCTAAAGAAAATCCGTATACAGCAGCACGCATCAGTTAGCAGTGAGATTATGACATTGTTTCTGAAAGAAATGAACTCACTTAATGCAGATGAAAAGATGTTTTTTCTTAAATGGCTTGGAATTCTCCTAGATGAACGCACCTCAGAAGATCTTTCTGCTCTGCGTCTAAAGTACAATATAAAGTGTTCAGAGGTCTTAAAACTAAAGAAGAACCATGGTAAACCTGAACAGCTGGTAGCTGTGCAAACAGAACTAAAGACAATATCTGAAGATTTACATTCTGCAAACTTTGGCTTGGTGCACATCCTACGAGAGATTGGTCAAATCTATGAATCATGTTCATCTGTAAAGAAGGACAAGGATGGCCTGCAGTGTCACTTTTCTTCTCTCCCCAGTCTTGCAGCAGAGATGATGATCTCAGGATTTCCACTGGAGCTGATGGATGGAGACGCCTCTCATGTATCTCTTATATGGGTTGCTGCTGTTTTTGATGAACTTGTCAAGAAAGTGGGAAACCTGAGAGTCTTTGTGCTGTCAGTTTTGGGAATTCAGAGCACTGGGAAGTCCACATTGCTGAATACCATGTTTGGACTCCAGTTTGCAGTCAGTGCTGGCAGGTGCACCAGAGGAGCTTTCATGCAGCTGGTCAAAGTCTCAGATGAGATGAAAACACAGCTTAAGTTTGACTATATTCTGATTGTTGACACTGAGGGTCTTTGTTCGCCAGAATTGTCTGGAAGAGAATCAACACATCACGACAATGAACTGGCCACATTTGTTGTTGGTTTAGGAAATTTGACATTGATCAACATCTTTGGAGAAAACCCAGCTGGGTTGGAAAACATTCTTCAGATTGTTGTTCAGGCCTTCCTGAGAATGAAGAATGTCAAACTGAATCCCAGCTGTATGTTTATGCATCAAAATGTTGACATAACGGCAAAAGAAAAATGCATTCAGGAAAGGATGAAACTGCTAGAGAAACTGGATGAGATGACAGAACTTGCTGCAAAAGATGATGTATGTGATGTTCAGTGCTTTAATGAAGTAATTAAATTTGATGCTTTGAATGATGTGAAGTATTTTTCGGCGCTCTGGGAAGGGAACCCACCCATGGCACCTCCAAACCCAAACTACAATGAAAATGTTCAAGATCTAAAGTACACAATTCTTTCTCAAGCCTCAAAATTGGATAGTATGAGGTTGACACACCTTAAATATCGTATTGAAGCCCTTTGGGAGGCATTACTTAATGAAAACTTTGTATTCAGCTTCAGAGATTCTATAGAGATAGCGGTTTACAGAAGACTTGAAACAGAATACAGTAAGTGGACTTGGAATCTTCGATATGCCATGCTAGAGATTGAAAACAAACTACTTAACAAAATAGAAAATGGAGCAATTCATGAAGTTCTTGAACATAATCTCCAAGCAGAACTAAAACAGATAAGTGAAGAAGTAAATAAATTGATGTCAGAATATTTTGAGAAAGACAAAGATGCTTGTATTCTGATTCAGTGGAGAACGTCTTTTAAGATAAAAATCAAAGAAGTTCAGGAAAACATTGTTAGAGAAACAAAGAAAAAGTTGAATGAGGTTCTTCAACAACACCACCTGCAGAAAAGGATTGATGCCCAGAGGATACACCATGAAAATACTCTTTTTGAAAAAAGCAAACATTCTGCCTTAAAGCTCAAAGACAATGCAAACAATGAAGAAACTATGAAAAAAGAATTTGGCTTCTTCTGGCATCAGTGGTTAACTGATATTAAGGAAGCAATACCTCCAATCAAAACGATCAATGTATTAGGAGACGTGAAGCATATCCTCAGTGACATATATGAAAGTGTTCCTCTGGACCGTGTCAAGGACAGTGAATGCATCGATATTGCCTCAGTGTCAGGATATGCAGATTATGTTGTTTTCAAAAGGTCCGAAAACATATTTTCTAGACACTCACTGGATAAAGAAAACGAAGACAAAATTAGAGCATTAGTAGCAGGCATTGAAAAAGAGACAGATGAGATGATTAAGTCAAAACCCATATCAAAAAGGGGTTACAACATTGTCTATGTCCAACAACTCACAGATTTCATAAAGAAGAAAGTAAAAGAACATGAGGAAGGGCCAGTAACATATGTTTTTAAGAAGGAATTCACGATGGACCTCACATTTCACATTTGCAAGAGATCAAACAAGATATTCACTGATCTCCACGGAATATTCAGGGAAGCCAATGATCCTGATCTTTATTTTGAAAGGAAGAAAGGAGAGTACTACAGTATATTCCAGAAATATTGTCAAGGAGCAACATCATCTGCCATTTTTGGAGAATTCGTCTGTAATAAACTGAAAGAGCCTATTCAACAGAGTGTCTACAAAAAGACTGCCAGAGAACTGGCAAATGAAATGAGATCAAACTGTGAATCAGTGAATGGGAACCGATCTAAACTAGAGAAACACATCCTAAAGGTACTGGCAGAAAGGGAGAATTTTGACATGTATATGACATACATTCATAATCCCAGAAAGCTCTTCAAGACTTTCATCAGAGATGAAGTCAGTAACTACATCAGTGAAAAGTTTAATGTGAGTGTTCTGCCTAAGATAAAAGAGGGCATTATACTCCACCAGCAGAAGATCATAGAAGCAGCACATGAAGCATCTAGACTGGTTAAAGTAAAGAACGATGTTGATTCTTGGTTAAAGCATTTTACACACCAGCTGTCAGATGTGCTGATACTCTCTGGAAAGACCTTCACCGGAGTGAGTTATAATGATGTTGACATCAACTTCTTAGTAGATGTGATGCGACGAGAACTCCCTGCTGTTAAATTTGACACAAGCAGAACATTCAGGGTAGTTAATTTTCTAGGTAAGCTAGACTATAGGGACAGGCCAGATGAGATTCTCATTGATCACCTTTGTCGTTGCTGTTGGGTTCAGTGTCCTTTCTGTAAAGCCATCTGCACCAACACAATAGAAAATCATGGAGGAGATCACAGTGTTCCTTTCCATCGAAACATAGGGTTGAATGGGTGGCATTTCAGTGAAACAAAACACCTGAGTGTTGACATCTGCACATCAGAAGTAGCAAGCAATCACTCTTTTTACCCAAATGTCTCAGATACCATAGCAGTCCTATGGAGAGAATACAGAAAAGGAGGTCCCAAATATGCTAACTGGAGCATTACACCTGACTTTTCTGAACTGCCATACTGGAAGTGGGTTGTCTGCAGATTCCAAAAAGATCTGGAAAATAAGTACAATAAAACATTCCAGGGGTCTGGGAAGATTCCAGATGAATGGAGGAAGTACACAAAACAGGAAGCTATTGAGAGTTGGAGCTGCCTTATTTAAATCCATGATGCAATTTAGGATTTGTGTTTTCTAAATGGTATCTTAAAAAGACAAAAATCACACAGTCTATGCAGGTCTATGCATGACAAAAGTAAAAGCTAATATTGACCTAAGCAGTGAACTTCATCCAAGGTTTGATTTTAGGAACTTTCCTTTGGAATTAAGAACAGCCACTAAATTAGTAGGTCTTTTATGTATTTAAGTGAATAATGACACTGTAAAAATAAAATTAAGAAAAATAAAGTTTAGTTAATAAAAATGCTCCTCTGTTACTGCCCCTTAACAAATATACAAGTGTCTGGCCTGCTTTTTAGAGGAAATCCAAAATATGTGTCTTATTACAACATATATAGAGTTATGTACACATGATTAGGGCAATAGCAGCTTATTTTATAAGCATGAAAAAACAGCACAACAAAAATATAAGTAACATTTAATTAAGCGGTAATGTATGTCAGAGTGTGTTGTCTATTTCACTACTTTTTAGAAACAGTACTTTTAAGTTTATATTTTACCTCTATAATTAAATGCATACACCATGTACATGTCTTCATTTGTGCTGCATATTAAAGATGCATTGATGTTATGTTTTTCTGAAGTCATTGCATAAATGTTATTTGTGTATTTAGAATTCAATGCAATTCTGTTTAACTACTATGTACTAAAATTTAAATGATTTACATTTACACACATGGCAGACAGACACTTTTATGCAAAGCTCTTTATTATAAAAATAAAATTACTCTGTTTAGCTCTTTCTTTGGACAGAAGTATCATTTTTTGCAATTATAAACACATTATTACAGTCAGACCTTAACATGGTATTTTATGTGTATATTTGTATGTGTTTGCATTTGTTGTGTCTTGTGTCTCTCCATAATTTCGATTCGTTCTGCATTGTAGCTGGGTTGTTGTTGTTTTTTTGACAAATTATGTAACTTGTCACTTTTTCATTACTTGTGAGTGATTTTATGGGTGATTTTTGGGGTGATTTCGTTTACTCCATTGTGGATGTGTTGTGGTGTCACCCCTTTGTGTTTTATGCATTTTTTTGTTTTTTATGCATTGTAACTTTTTTTTGTACAAATTAACAGTGTAACACACATTTTTATAGTCTCCCATTGATTCTATGGGTCATTAATGCGGGTGTGGTGCAGTGTTTGTATGTGTATGAGTGCAAGAATTCCACATGTGGATGTGTTATATAGTGCTGCCACTTTATTTCTGTGTAATTGTTCTGTATTGTCGCTTATTTACATACATACGCTTATTTTTATTTTACAAATAAAAAAAAAAGTATTGATTCTATAATTTTCCAGTTCATTTCAAAGTGGGGTCTGGTGTAACTTTTCATTTTGACATTTTGGAAAATTTTTATGTGAATCCCATGTGAAAAGTATATTTTCATGTGAAACCAATGAGATCACATTTGAAACAAATGTATATTCCCATATGAAACATCTCAGGTTATGCACATAACCATGGTTCCTAGAGAAAGAGAACAACACACTGCATCCTCTAGGGGTCATTATGGGGAATGCCTTCGTGACCGGTATCTGAAGCGTGTTTCCAAACACGACAATAACAATGAGACTGGCCGGACACAGCCTGTGACATCACTACTGTTGTGACCGGGGGTATAAAAGGGCACCTGTAGGATACTTAATTATTCGGAGGACTGAAGGCATAGAGAGTTTCTGACTATCGTTCAGTTATTCTGTTCAACTGTAGAATATGTCATCTACTTCTTTATCAGAAGGAGACACAGGAATGCACATGAATACCTGAAGCATGGAAAGGGGTGAACAGGGTTGCTATGGGGAACAAAATACCCATTCCGCCATGCTGAAGGAAGCCAACGTGGTTGCGTCTCATGGCTACAGAGACATGGAAATTCATGAGTTTCAGGCACATGACTCTTTGCTGTGGCCGCCATCTTTAGGACATTTGCGTAGCCTCTCCTTGGTGATAGGAAAGATGTCCCACACTAAAATAGCACACCTCACCACCGACCAAAAAGTAACAATATTTAAAGAAAATAGATACTTTAGGATTATACCCTTATTTACTCTGAAGCAAACTGCTAACTAAAGTCTGGTAAAAAAAAAATCCAAATTTGACGTTTGCTGATATTTACACCTGCCACATACACAATCCCTCTCCATACACCGGCAAAGCTTTCAAGGCACTTAAAAGCACTGAAGCCTACCACTACTTCACCTCAGGATGTGTTAATGAAATAAATAATAAAATTTAGAGATGAAGAAAATGTTCATGGTCACAGGAAGGGTAAGTGGCAGCTGTTAATCAAGTGATTTTAACATTACACTAATAGCGCAAGCAGTGGCATAATTACAGACAGTGCAGGCAGTGCAGCCGCACTGGGGCCCGTGCCACGGGGGGGGCCCGCAGCGCAAGCAGGCCCTGCCCACATTGCAAGCGACTATAGTAATATAAATGAATAATGACCGCATTAATAAAAAAAATACAATTAGTACTGCGATTCTTCACAGAACTGAATAAATATATACATTTGCACAAATAGTGTGTGTGTGCTTTAGTGGTCAAGTGGTAGATCTTTTGTCAAGCATTTCCGAGGTTCTGGGTTCTAATCCACCCTCGTGTAGTTTTTTTTCTTCACTCATTAAAACCAAAGGTGTTCATCAGTGATTGTATATCAAGAGCAAGGACATGTTTGTGTGCATTTTGTTTTGTGTTTTATGATTGTCTGTGTGAAGACTGCGCATTGTGCACGAGTGCAAGAGAGAACTGATAACAGCAGCAACAAGCGCTCACCAAAACACATTCCAGCGATAGATCGCCTGTTATTTAACACAGACCAACGAATCTGTTATCAAATGGAGATGTTTCTTTAGGTACATCCATGCGTGTCGCGAGATGCTGCAAAAAGTGACGGGGGGTCGTGGGGACACACGTCCCACCCGTAAATAAAACTATAACAGAATGAATAGTCTTGTTTTATTTGTTATATGTCATTTCCACGACTTTCCAAAAGAGGAGAAAAATATTAAGATTGACATGCCAAATTTGCCGTCACTCCCTCAGCAGGTGTATAGAAACACCCTCGCAGCAGCGCCAATTCTTTTCTTTTTTTTGTCATTTATGTGGGGTCTCCTTGAGAGTGTATAGGCTATGTAATGTTAAAATTAATTTAGAAAAACGTTTGGAGCATTTTTTGTTCGTTAAAAGTTTTTTTTTTTTTTTGTTTTTTTTTAAAGTAACGACCAAGTGGCCAGCGCCAGACAGTGAGTTGATCATAGCCTATGTTTGATAAATTTAACCTTCTCAAATAATCACGACTTGCCTAGAATAAAATCTATAGATATAAAACAGTTTAAGCATATCACAATGTTAGTTTAATTATTTAAACGATATAAATGTGCGCTATTAGGCGCATATACAATTGTTTGTGTGAAGAGTGGAAGCTGAGCGTACTCAGCATTTTCTTCTTGATAGTGGAAACTTAAAATACGCCTAATTTTTGCTCATAAAGGTAAGAGTAATACATTCGGAAATGTAAAGGGTCTACTTTTATTTGTGTGCATTCACAATATCAACAAAATGTTGTGCTTTTATAAAATAAATAGGAAAACGGGATGCGCTTGCCGTCTCGTCTTGAACAGGAGCGCTTCACAAGGATGAACCGAAACTCAACAAATTGAGTCACAGATATGATAAATATATCTATGGAAGAAAGCTTTAAATTACTACTTTAAAATGAAATAATTCAAATCGAAAACAAAAACTCTTTCATTAGGCTATACGTAATCCTTAAAGATGCATTTCTCTCTAAAGGCACGTCCAATGAGGAGATGGCGAGTAATTTTTTCATCACCATCTAAACTATAAAAATAAGGAAAAGCCTTAAACAGGCCCGATTATATTTTTTATGTTGCTCTGCTCTGAATACCTTAAAATGTAAAGGATTTGCTGCAATGCAATTTTGTCTGATATGTGAATTATTTATTGGCCTATTTTTTTTTTTATCCATGCAGCAAATGCTTTAAAAAGTACTTTATTGCATTCCAGATGATTTTAAAGAATGTTACACTAAAATTTTACGGGTAGCTTAAATGTAAAGCATTGTCATGAATTCGTTGTATTCCCATTTGTAAAAATAGACTACAAATTAATTGTTGTAGAGCCCGATCTCATGAAAGTGCGTATAGCACGATTTTCTGTTTCTATTTGGCGTAATGTTTATACGCAGAAATTGACTTTGGCGTGCAAACGACTGATAAATTCATAATTAATGGCATGGGTTCAGTCGACAGAAATACGGGACACACAGGCCTATAATAACTGCTGAAATGTTTGCGGGCAAATCTGAGGTCAGTCTGAGCGCTCATGGTACTCACAGTGCGTACAGCCATATTACATTTGTGTGCGGTTGTTGCCGCTAAAGTTGGCCATGATTCAGGACATGGTGTTGATAATTTTTAGACCTCTTTCTTATCTAGTCTCTTGCTTTTCGGAGAGGAATGCGGTTGCCGCGATTACTGGGTTACTCTGCTAAAAGTAAAAAAAAACAAAAAAAAAGGCGACAATTTCAGCACCACAGCGCTGAAACACTCAATGCTTCTGATAACCTTGCCTTCTGTGCTTTGCAAATACTAACACATGCTGATGACTGTAAAATTCAACACGATTAATTTGGTACTTCTGGCTGCTGCGGCCAGGCAGAGACGCACGCAAAGAGTTTCAATGTTCAATTTAATATAAGAAACTGATAAGATACTGATTTTAGTTGGTCTAAATTAAGTAGGTTAGGCACAAATTTGCATATATGGGTTCCCTTCTAAACACGAGCGCTGTGTGTTTGTATGTGCTTCATAACCGTGCACCCCAGGGGGCCCGTTGTAATAGCCTGCACTGGGGCCCGTCATTACTAAGTTACGCCACTGAGCGTAAGCATCACTGAATTGGATTGATAATACAAGAGATGTTTTACTAACATTATTGGCAGTCATGTGAGCACACCTTTATGTAATGAAAAGTAGTTTAGCATACTAAACCCAGATAGCACACGTACATCGCAGAGACGTCCGCTAAAGAGCGTATCATCTGGTAAACATCGGCTTCTTTTTTTATAGTCGTATTTTGATCGTCTGTAGATCGGCCATTTGAGCTGTTAAATAAGACGCCTTCCCTACCTCTAAATGACATCTACAGTGGGTACGGAAAGTATTCAGACCCCCTTAAATTTTTCACTCTTTGTTATATTGCAGCCATTTGCTAAAATCATTTTAAGTAAAATTTTTTTCCTCATTAATGTACACACAGCACCCCATATTGACAGAAAAACACAGAATTGTTGACATTTTTGTAGATTTATTAAAAAAGAAAAACTGAAATATCACATGGTCCTAAGTATTCAGACCCTTTGCTCAGTATTTAGTAGAAGCACCCTTTTGATCTAATACAGCCATGAGTCTTTTTGGGAAAGATGCAACAAGTTTGTCACACCTGGATTTGGGGATCCTCTGCCATCCCTCCTTGCAGATCCTCTCCAGTTCTATCAGGTGTATCTTTATCACCCGAAATATGCCAGTATGTGCGTCAGGACGGGAAGCTGCAGACCACCTGCTATACTTGATTAATTTGAAGGGAAATACGTGAAGAAATAACGATTATTTTAAATCCATATTCTGTGATATTTGCTTTTCTTTTTACAAGAACGTATAGCATGTTTAAAAGCAAACATCGCATTATTTTGTAGATCGACTTTGCATCAATGGATCCATATTCCCTGTCCCATTTTTGTCTTATAATAATATTTACAAGGAGGCACCAACACTTTGTTTTTCTTTACTTATGCACATAATAACACTGTGTGCTATATATGGACATTAATATTTCTCTAAATTACTTACAATCTTCTTTACTGGAAACAAATGAGAACAAAAAAAAATAAATAAAAATAAAGTTTTTAACCACGTAATCCATCATGCACTTTTAAATCAGTTTGTCCAACTATCCCTGTTAGTTTGATCCTTCTGTAATAAAGATAAACATGCCTATATAAGTTATTTTGTAGAGAGCATTTTAGATCCTTGACTACTTATAAGTGTTCAACATTACAAGCTTGGTGATTGGATTAACGATTAAATGTACACACACATATATAACTATATATTTGATGTTGAGCAAGTTACTCCAAAGAAAGTAATTATGATTACAAGTTATTTTGTACTTCAACAGTGTAATGACATTACTGTACTAATTAAAAAGATTGCATTACTTAATATTTCAAATCATAATGCATAAATTATTCTTGGAATGACAAAAACACATTTTAAATGTTAAACTTGAGACGTGTTTGTTAAATTCACTGTTGTTTTACACAGAAATGTTCTATAGTCTATACAGTATTTAACGCAATTACTGTACATCCTGCCTGGAATTAAATTGCAAAATAATTAAGAGCAATCACTTACCTTTTCAAGGTAAAATTAAATGTACTACTCAATAATTAATCACACCCAACACTTACCTTTCTATATAACTATACAACTTCCTGCAAAGTTCAGCTCCAACCCTTCTCAAACACTACTGAACCAGCTATTTATGATCTTCAGGAGCACTGGTTAATTACAGACGGGGCTGTTGGATCAGTGTTGAATCTGAACAGAATTGATCACACCTGATCATTAGAATTAAGGGGTGATTTATCGCTTCAGTTCATGTAGTTCTTTACGTCCACGGCATATATTAAAATAGTGTAATATACACCCAGCCATGGCTTACCTCACATATTACATTTAATATTTTGTTTAAAAGCACCATAAAAAAATGCTTTCAATATCTATTGAGAATGGTTACAAAGACAATCATTTTTAGATATTAAACTATATAAGGTAGAAACCTCTGGAGGAAACAGACTACACAAATGTTCATCTGACCAGATGTTATGCAGCCTCACAACATTAACGACACTGAATAATTAGTTCTTTCCCAGATAAATTTATTAAACCGTTTTAAACCTAGGTGAATCCAGGTCAATACAGCATTTCAATGAAGTAAGGTGATGACACTGAACACCTGCTCATCATATTACTGCACAAGACCCAGAGCTGACCATGAGAGCTTACACTTTAGAAGTGTTCGACTTGAAGCGGCACTGTGCAGACTGATTGAAGTATGACGAAGTATCGTGAGAGCGATTCAAAAGCATAAGAAGCTGTCTTGCTCTCGCGGTACTTTGATGTCATACTTCGATCGGTCTGTGCAGCACTGCTTCAAGTCAAACACACCTAGTATCTCTTCTAGAGAAAGATTAAGTGAATTTGCTTTTAAATAATAAACTTAAGATATAATCAAATAATACAAATATTAAGGACATATTTTAACTGAATGCACAAAGGTAGGAGAGATCATGCTACATTGTGAACAGTATTCAGGGAAATCATGGAAACTGTTAGGCAAGACTAAATTATTTGAACTTGATATTGTGTAGCGATTGTTGTGAATGGCATATCTCTAACAGAACAGCAATCCATAATATTGGCAGTAGGCAGGGTGCAGACACTGGTGATGGACTGTGATGAGACACAGGTGTGGGTATGATCGTGGACCAGGGGTGGATTTGGGTGTCTTAGGACGTCACAGGCTGGTCTGTCCTAAGGTATTGGGTGAAGGAAAAAAAAAAACAAACAGAGTAAGAGCATTTTATGTAAAAATGTACAAACCCGATTCCAAAAAAGTTGGGACACTGTACAAATTGTGAATAAAAACAGAATGCAATGTTGTGGAAGTTTCAAATTTCAATATTTTATTCAGAACACAACAGATGACATATCACATGTTTAAACTGAGAAAATGTATAATTAAGGGAAAAATAAGTTGATTTTAAATGTCATGGCATCAACACATCTCAAAAGTTGGGACAAGGCCATGTTTACCAGTCAATAACAGTCTGCCTTTTATAACAGTCTGCAAACGTCTGGGGACTGAGGAGACAAAGTTGCTCAAGTTTAGGAATAGGAATGTTGTCCCATTCTTGTCTAATACAGGCTTCTAGTTGCTCAACTGTCTTAGGTCTTCTTTGTCGCATCTTCCTCTTTATGATGCGCCAAATGTTTTCTATGGGTGAAAGATCTGGACTGCAAGATCATCACATCATATTTATATGAAATCGACTTGATAGATCCCCAAAAATAGTGCAGTTTTGGGCACCACTGATTTCCATAGTAGGGAAAAAAATTATATGGGGAGAAAAATACTATGGAACTTCTTGGTTACAAACATTCTTTAAAATATCTTCCTCTGTGTTCACCAGAACAAAGAAACTCATACAGGTTTGGAACAACATGAGGGTGAGTAAATGACTAACACTTTAATCAGTGACACCGATATACATTATAAAACATTATGTTAAAAAATATTATAATGTTTTTACAATAACTGTATCATTATTTTTTGTTGTAATATTGTTTTTTGCCTTTTTTCAATTTATAAAATTATTGTCATTGTGTGAGTATTGACAAGTGTTTTAAAAATAAAACATACATAGAATTCAATGTACAAATTAAACAGTGATTGTTAATAAAACTACTAAAAATTCAAAAGCAAAGAGTGATTTTCTATATTGTGTTGCTGGATTAACAATGACACAGATGATAACCTTTCATGAAGGAGAAGTTTCATTGAACCTTTCAATGTTTATATGAAAAATTAATTTGAAATAATGTTATTTTGTATTAAAAGAAAAAATAAGACATTGGCTACGTTCAGATTGTCAGTTCAAATCAGATTTTTTTTTGCATATTTGAAATCTGATCAGATTTAGAAGATTTTTTTTTTTTTACAAATAGTTTCAAGCTACATTCATATTGTTTAAAATCCTATTTAAATTGCATTTCTGGAAATCCGTTTCAGTCCCACTGCTCCTATCCGATTTGGCATGGTTTATCTAACTTTATCACACCACATAAAATTATGTCGCCTCTGGCTTGCTTAGTTGGGGACACTTCATTTCCGGCGATATCGTTGACTTGATTGCAAAGATATTATTTAAACTGAGCTGGATGTTGACATCACTGAATTCAATGATGAACTGTCTGAAAAATGAGTATTTACTATTGTCACTTTGCATTATTGACACTATTTTCCTAATTAATGCTGTTCAGTTGCTTTGACACAATCTGTATTGTTAAAAGCGCTATATAAATAAAGGTGACTTGACTTGACTTGACTTTTCAGCTTCTGCCATCTCACTATATGATGATATGAACACGAATGTCATCTCCAGCTGCTCTGAGAGTCACTTCATTAGCATTTTACCGTTTAATTTGAGAAAACTACCGTCATATCACATACACAGCAGCTGCAAGTTCTTTACGGCAACCCGTCAAAATAAATGTTTTGGTTAATGGTGAAGAAACTGTGTCAGAAATATATTACTATTTATCAGTCTTAAAGGGGTCATATGATGCGATTTCAAGTTTGGAGTGTTACAAGCTCTTGGTGCATAAAGAAGATCTGTAAAGTTGCAAAGACTAAAGTCTCAAATCCAAAGAGATGTTCTTTATAAAAGTTAAGAGTCAACCACTCCTACCTAAAACGGCTCGTTCTAACACGCCCCCACATATCTACATCACTATGTGGAAATATTAGCATAATGCGCCCAAATGTTCACGCAAAGAAAGAAGGTGTGGTTTCAGTAACAGCAGTTAGTGTTGAAGCAGCATGTCAGGGAGACGCTGTGTGTTTCTAGGCGGAAGCAAAAGCACTTTATTTGGCTTTCCGGAAGTAGATGCATTTAGGAATCTTTAAGATTACTTACAACAGAACAGCATATTCTGTTACACCAAATAACGATCTTTAAAATAGCATCATATGACCCCTTTAAGACTCAATGTAACAATACTAATACTACTACTACTACTAATGAATATTAATACATTTTTTTTAAAGGAATAATCACATTTGTTTTATTTTTAATTTTAACAGTAAACCTATTATTGAAAAAATAAATAAAAATAGAACCCTATACAAAAAAGAATAGGTTTAAAATACAGGCCTGTGGCTCTTTATTTCTTTTTATTAATTCACCATTTGTAAACTGATGTTTACTGTTCATTTTTAGAAATATCAATAGCATTTGTATTAAAACTATATTCACTGAATGTAACCAAAATTGAGAATTGAATCAAGAATTGAACTGAATCAAATCGAGAGCTTGTGAATCAGAATCTAACTGAATCGGGACATCTGAATGGATACCCAGCCCTAACGCCCTCATTTACATGTTGCACATGGAAAAGTAAAAAGAAAGAAAGAAACAAATCTGTAAATAAATACATAGGTATAAATAACCACATAAAACAAAAACATAGAAAAATAAATGCATAATGCAGAATACATAAATGTAATAAATATAAAAATAAATGAAAGTATAATAATGTATTTTTATTTAAAAAAAAATTGTATTAGAAATGAACTATATTCGTTTTATCAAGACATTTATTTCTTTATTTTCCTATTATTACATTTATTTAATTAACTATATATTTATTTTTCATTTCTGCATGTTTGGGCCTCCATAGAGTGAGCTTCTGCATGAAATGTACAGCTGTTGTTAAAAGCAGTAGAAACTTCATTAAATGCTTCAAAGATAATTGTGAGTTCATTACTCCGTCAGGTGCTTCTGCTGTGTAATGCGCTTGAAATGTGTTTCCCCCAGTGAATAACTTCATATTATGGATGCAAGTTGCAACCATTTTAACAATTAAGTAATTATTCAATTATTTATTTGATTAATTGGACAAAAAAACTATTATTTTGTGTATTTTATTAAAGTGTCGGCTATTCTGCACATTAAGTACAAAAGAGTTAAAATGTAAACATTACATTTTGGGGGAAAAAACAAACAAAAAAACCCCCCGGCAAAGTCATGATGTGGAGTAATATATATATATATATATAGTGTATTTTATTAAAGTGTTGGCTATTCTGCACATTAAGTACAAAAGAGTTAAAATGTAAACATTACATTGTTTAATGCAGTGGTCACCAACCTTTTTAGGCCCAAGATCCCTGACCTCGGCCTTTATGAAAGACAAGATCTACCTATTGAAGAATTGATAGAAAAAGACAGTACTTCAAATTTGAGGCCTTTTACTTAGTATTTTAATTAGTGATGCACCGATCATAGCGGATTCAGAATTTCTTTTCTTTTTTTAAACTAGCAAATTGGATTCTGATACTGATTTTTAAGCAAATTTATTTGTTGGCTATTTGCTTTATAACAAACAATCTGGCTTCAAACAAAAATATCTAGCCATTTGAAATTAGAGGTAACCACTGCATTTTAAATCACGATCTGCACGGGCAGTTGTTTTTGATTTGATTTAGATTAATTTCAGGATTTAAAATAAAAACAGAATGGTCTGACTTTAGGTGTTATTTATTTATTTGCTACATAAAACATCTGCACGAAACAAAAACCGCAGGTCTGAATGAGACGCACTCTCTGACAGCAGGTGGCGCTTATGAACAGGGTTGCCAGGCTGGGGGGGAGACAGCAAGGTCATGATGTGGAATAACATGCTTTTTCAATAAACAAAGGTAATATAGCTGTTATCAAAATGATCAGAAAAATAATTAAAATGACTTAAGACAAAACCATTCACTGACAAACAACAGAATCTTTAACAATGCATTACCTTGTCCGAATGTTATAAGAGGTTCAATGGAGGAGAGGGTCCTCACCAGGTCAGGTTTCTACAGCTGTTGCAGAATCAAGGAAACTAGAGAAAAATCAAATATGTCCCAGACACATCACCCATGTATCAAAGGAATAGATATAATACAGTTTTTTTTTTTAAAAGTGTAGAACATAAATCTTACAGTGGATTTGTTGAGAAGCAATATATTAAACAAGCGGTTTCCAACTATTTAGAGAAAGTGTAATGTAACAGAGAGAAAATTATTAATGTACACATTTAAATATTTTCATAATTTTTTAGGATTGGTTGTTGAATGAAATTTAAAATGCCTAATAAAATATAATAACTAATAAAATTATAAAATAACCTAATAAAATAAAAACTGTTACTGAACCAGGATATGAAGAAATTTTAAAAAATTTTCAACATATGGTGATTAAAAGTAAAAAAAAAAAAAAAAAAAAAAAAAAAAAACATGTTACATTTACAAATAAATACAACAAGTAGCAAACAAGTAGCCCTTGACATTATGTCCTTGAGGTAACCCTCTCTCACAAAAAAAAACTGTACTAAGCAATATTAAAACATAAAACTGTAGCAATATTTATAACCCCTCTAAACATGAGCACATTGGGTTCCCTGTATCTAGCTCAGGAAAATGTATAAATAAATAAAATGAAAAGAAAAAAAAAAAACATGAATGAATGTCACATGACCGTAGGCTACATATATGCCATGACCGTTGTGATTTGTATCAGATGACCGTTGTGATTTCCTCAGCCTACTGTACCCTCAACATTTTTGGATAATTTTTCCCACATTAATAACCTGTAAATAGCACCAGTTGTATATATTACGTTCCTGTTCATTCATTACACGTGTTTCTACTACTGTTGTTTTATAAGTTCATTACTAGTCGTCTTTAAGTTTGTTTGTAGTTTGTCGTCAGTTCGTCAAGTTGTTGGTAAGTAACATTTATATGGATTAATCAGCCTTTTGATATCTTTAAAGTTTAATTATATTCGAGATAAGAATCATTATACATGTACACACAGACACACACTAAATATTAAAGTTACAAATACAAACAACCACACTAAAACTAAACACCGAAATGTTAAGGGCGTGTTTTTTCTTTCCTCATGAAATAGCTGACTGATGGCATCTCATTCACTTGAACGCCATTCTGACCGGCTCCAATCACAGGTCAGGCGGGAAAATCTGAAGCGTTGCTCTGCTCAATACGGATTGGTTTAGGCCTATCTGCACTGAGGAAAATAACGTACAAATTTAAAATGTTGCTATACACATTAGCTCTCGTGCTGAATCTAAAATCGCCACTGTACCCTCAAATATGATACTTTTCGAGGGGACATCCATTTATTTTGTAGTGATGTCCGAAACCTGAGTGGACGCTATCGAGTGCACTCATTCACTCCTATTTTGCACCGCAATAACAAGATGTAACGTTACACTCAACGGCTGTCCGAAATCGCTCCTCATTTTCATTCACTCCTTCAAGTTAACTGTATTATTGGAAGTTATAAAGAGCTATTTCGGATTGGTTTAGACCCACCAGCACTGAGAAATTTAACACAAGTTAATAATGAACAGAGGCTCTGAGCTAACGTAATAACAGCAGCCGGGATCAAGTTACACAAGCACTAACGTTAAACATATATGATGGCCATTATGTAAGACCCACTATTCCTTAACATGCACAGTTAACAGGTGTTAAACATGATAACCTTTGTGACGATGACACCCTGGTGACAGCACAAGCGCAGGCCCCGTTTCCAGCTGGTATTAACACGCATTTTCGTGAATCACAAAAGGGGCCTGTTCAGTGATAACAGTTGAACAAACTCAAGGTTACCAAACCAAACCATTCAGGCTTCGCTTGTACCATGACGCTGATCCCGTGTTGTTCTTGCAGGGCGCACAGTAAAGCGCGACATCAGCACGTAACAGCCAATCGCATGCCTTGAAATGGAGGAAACCTAATTATTTATTCTTGTGATGCAAAGCTGAATTTTCAGCATCATTACTCCAGTTTTCAGTGTTACATGATTCTTTGGAAATCATTTTAATACGCTGATTTGATGCTCATACACAAAACTGAAAAAAATTACATATTTTCATATATAGTGAAAATGTAATGTAAAAATTTAGTTTTTAGTGTACTTTCATCAAATAAACAGCCTTTAGTCATACGATTTCTTTCAAAAACATGAAAATCTTACCAGTACCAAACTTTTGTGTGTGTGTAAATGTATAATTTTATGTGAGCAGATCTCTTAGGTGCAACTGATGATGCTTTAAAGAACATAAGGGGATGAAATGAGAATTAAATCTATATTTAAACCTCAATTATGGAAGATTGTCAATCTTTGATTAAAATCAGATATACTGTATTGTATTGTACTGTAAACTATTTATATAACCATGAAATGCATCAGTACAAATGAAAATTTAGATAAAATTTAATTGTTTTTTCAAAAATGTAGTTATTTAAATTTCAGCATTTAACTCTGTCCTTTGTTTAATTTGACTACAGAAAGTTATCTATTACCATCCGTCAACCAACTAAAGGTATGTACATTAATTATGTTAATGCACATGACTTGGTAGGTCAGTAAACAAACAACAACAAAGGGGTTTGTTTGTATTAAGGTCTTAATACTATGGCTTCAAATGAACCATCCTATTGGACACTGAGAAGAAAAGCAAAGGACAAGGTGGATCAACAACTGCAGACAATACTTACAATACTTGGGGGAAGGAGTTGTGTTGCATGCAGAGTAACACCTGTCAAGGTCAAAATGATGATGAAGAAACATTTATGGACTGTCTCTCTCATGTTGACGAGACTGAAGATGTCAATATGGCAAGTGTTTCTGATGACAGTGAATCAGACACAGAATCAGAATCAGAATCTGATCCAACTTCCCTAGAAGATGATTTGGCATCCTGGGCTACTGAACACAAAATTACACATGTGGCATTGAATTCACTGCTCAACATTCTACGGCTCCACAGTTTATATCTGCCAAAAGACTTGAGGACATTGCTAGGAACTGTGCGTTTGAACCTTGAAATACAAGACAAGGCTGGTGGCCAGTATTACCATTTCGGAGTGCTGAATTCAACTGCAGAGGTGCTACATCAGAATGTTGACATTCTGCGCAACATTCACACGTTGGAGCTTCAGGTCAACATTGATGGTTTGCCCTTCTATAAGAGCTCAGCAACACAGTTCTGGGACACTGCAAAACATCAAACAAGAGGAACCAGTGACAATAGGTTTATTTTGTGGCACAAGTAAACCTACATTACTAGCTGAGTATCTTCAAGAATTCATCTCTGAAGTAAATGAACTAGCTAAAGGATTTGAATTTGAAGGAGTGATGTTAACTTTACAACTCTCTTCAATGGTCTGCGATGCACCTGCCCGTGCATTCCTGAAAAATGTTAAAGGTCACACAGGCTATCGCGGATGTGAGAAATGCACACACATCAAACAAGAGGAACCAGTGACAATAGGTTTATTTTGTGGCACAAGTAAACCTACATCACTAGCTGAGTATCTTCAAGAATTCATCTCTGAAGTGAATTAGCTAAAGGATTTGAATTTGAAGGAGTGATGTTAACTTTACAACTCTCTTCGATGGTCTGCGATGCACCTGCCCGTGCATTCCTGAAAAATGTTAAAGGTCACACAGGCTATCGCGGATGTGAAAATTGCACACAGGATGGTTTGTACCTAGAAAATAGAATGACATTTCCAAGAATTGGCATGCCATTAAGAACTAATGAGAGTTTCAGAAACAAGACAGAGACTGATCATCATCATGGTCCATCACCTCTTGAAGAAACATCCCTAGACATGGTCTCTGGTTTCCCCCTCGACTACATGCACCTTATGTGCCTCGGAAACATGAGACGGCTTCTTCTCTTGTGGCTGAAGATGGGTCCTCTGACTTGTAGGCTGTCAGGATTTCAAATAAACACATTGTCAGAAAGATTGATAAATGCTCAGAGAAGTGTGCCCATGGAGTTTGCACGGAAACCAAGGGCACTGAGAGAAATTGATAGGTGGAAGGCAACAGAGTTCAGGCAGTTTTTACTGTATAAATGCAAAGATGCTGCAAAAAACCTCACAAAACCAGGCCACATCTGCTCAAAAAACCTCATGCGACTGGTCCTCTACCTGCATCCTTTCATGAGGCGACACAATATAAAGAGTTGAGAACAAGCCCTCACACTCTGAAATTGGATCAGGCAAACGGTCACGTTTGCATTGGCGGCAAAGTTGCTAAACTGCAAAACATAATTTCATTAAGGGATGAAATTTATGTAGCTTACAGTACCTTCAAACACCAGGAATCCTTTTTTGACTATCCACTGCCATCCTCTACACTTGGCATTCATTTAGTGGATGACCTCTCAACAACAGTTGATTTCTGCAAGTATGAGGAAATAGAGAGCACAATTTTTCTTGTCCCCTATCACAATCAGTTTGTAATTCACACATTACAGAGTAATTCTTTATCAGCACTTTTTGTTTCATAGTTCATGCATTTTAATTGCATTGTTGAAAATTAATCAGAGTTAATAAACAATACGGGTTTCAGGCTTGCAGCTTAAACAAAAAAAAAAACAAAAAAAAAAAAACAGAAAGAAAGAAAAAAATTTTTACCTAATCGTGGAGTTTGAGGGAGAAGGGACGACTGGACCAGCTGCCAAGTCCTGGTATGCAGATGGCTACTCCTGGTGGCCACCATATAAAGATCTTGACAGGTTGCTCAAGAGTGTTAGGACAATGGAGGCACCACAGCCAGAGAAAGGGTGGACCCAACATAGAGCAAGAATCCTGCACGAGTCAGGTAAGAGTAATGATGCTGTAAATTAAACCATGATCTTGCCCAGATTTCCTGTATTTCATTTTTCAGAATCTTTGCACATCATTTATCCACACTGTAAAACATGATCTCACATAGCTTTAATAAACAAAAATGAAGCCGTTCCTGCATTTATTTTTTTCAGCATCTTTTCAGAATGTGGCCAACAACTGGAAGAAGGCCAGCTACACTTCTGACATAAACTCAGAACCTGAAATTGCTGGAAAAAGGATTCCTAAGTAAGTCCTCACAAAAAGACAAAAGAAATTGTTTAACAAATGAAAATGGCATCGTTTGCCTTCATGTGTCATCTATCTTTAAAATGATTCAACTCAGCATTTAAGTAAGGGATAATGCATGGCTAGCTGTGCATTAAACCATTTTAATGCACTTCACGTCAAGTGGTTCTTTGCTTCCACGTTGTGCATTAAAATCGTTTAATGCACAGCTAGCCATGCATTATCCCTTACCCTAATCCAGTATCTAAGCTATTTTATTAATAAAAGCCACGGAACAGCATTAAAAACAAATTTCTATGCTCCTGAATGTTTCTGTGTGTATGCAGCGTGATGTCTGATCTCTCTTTCTGTGTGTGTGCATCCATGAAATCAGCGCATTAATACAGAACGGTGATATAAACTGACTTGGAACTAACTACCTGTGCATTAAACTGTTTTAATACATACCTGCCAGCCAATCAGAATAGAGTATTCAGACATACCATGGTATAAGTTATTGAATAGGAGATTTAGTGTAACTGTTACAGGCATTAAAGGCAACGTTCACCCAAAAATGAAGTTTTGGGAAGTTGTGGCCTAATGGTGAGAGAGTTGGACTCGTAACCCAAAGGTTGCGA